AACTGCATTTCACTGTGATCAAAAATACATGGAAAATGTTCTCCACTCTCTTTTAGCAGTACATTTAGCATGTTTCAGATTACAAAATTGTAGTACCGACTTGGTTTATTTCTTTAGACTTATCACTCTTACTGAATACTGAATATTGGCTGAATTAAAAAAAATGTTTGTATTTAGGGATTTTTTTGTTTGTTTTGGTGTTCTTTAGATACTGAAGGACTATCAGCTAGATTGTGTTAAAAAGAAACTACACTTTCAGCAACAAGGGTGTCATATTTGTCTGATGATTTGAAAGAACTGTTGTTACCTTCCCTGGGGCAATGTGGAACATAAGGAAAATAATGTGGGAATATTCCTGTTTCTGAAATACTTCAGCAGTTGCTTCCACAGCAAAATCATCTTGTCTGGAACACAGTTGTAATATGTTTTGTTTTCAGAACTTTGGAAAGAAAAAATAAGTATAAGCCAAACAAGAATATTCACTGCATCATCAGTTTAACTGAAAGGAAAATATTTCCTTTACTAGAGAAAATTCTTAGGAACAAATTCATTATTAATTTCCTTTAGAGCAAGCCTAACCTTAATATTTTAATATTACTGAAAAGTAGCTACAACAAATTCATCATTTCAGCTATTTGAAAGATGGCTCAACAAGACTCCTCCAACATATAGTCATATTTTGGCTTCTGCACAAGGCTTGATAACCTTCTCATGAGTAGTTGATTAGGCTATAGAGTGCAATGTCTGCATGCATAATTGAAGCTATACAGAAATAATTGATCTAATTACCGGTGCTAAGTAAATTCATTCTGGTTAGAGACCTGTCCCACTGGCTGGTGTCTGCCCAGCAGTTTCCCCTCAAAGAGCATGTGGGATATTCTGAAGGAATCCTTAATATTTTCAATTACTCTTTTGCCCTGCAAAGTCTCTTCTTGACTGCTGGTAAAAACTGTGTTGAATATTCTGTAGTAACCAAACTCATCCCTGCTTCCATATGCAAGGAAATTTTTGGAAGGCATCCGATCTATTTGGACATACGGATTCTCTGTTTGGTATCCCTACACCCTCTTATCATCAACGGTGGAATGAACAAAAAACACAAAGAAAATTTGCAATTTTTAAAGAAGAAACAGCCCTCTTTCTCACCTCTTCCCAAGTTTAAGTATTGACCTACCTAGCACTAATCATGGGTTTTTTTGCCAAATCTCTCATTTCCACCTCGGTCAATGCTGATGTCTTGACACGTGACACTTTTCAATATTGACTGCAGGAGCCTTCCCTGGAGAGTTTTAGGAGTCACACACCAGATGAATGTATACATAAGCACACACCAAAAGAAGCAAGTTATCAGGAACTGTCTGAGATAAATGTCAGCTGAGGATGAGGAAAAGGCTTCTCAACATTTCCAGCCTCAAATTCATGGGTTTGTGTACCTATAGTAACAGAGAGACAAAGTACCCTAAAAAACCAGGAGTAATAAATAAGACAGATAGAAAGCAGGGGTTATTTAAATAAGACTTTAAAACTACTAAGCACAGTAGGTGCTGCAAAAACAGGCAAGGATTTACTCTTCCAAAAATAGAAGGAATTTGCTTCATATCATCTGATCAAATGTTCAGGGAGGAAAATTGAAAAGTTCTAAATTTAAAATTACATGGTCCGGCTTTCCAAAGAAATACATTAGAACACTGCTAGCTGTGTTTCAGAAAGGAATGATACAACTGTACTTGATTTTAAAATTATCAGTTTTATGCCAAGAATGACAAGATAGAATATCTTTTCAAGATACCAAGGCCATCATAACTGATGCAAACATAAAGGAATGCTTCAGTTATATGATTCCTATTTAAAATGTCCTTGATTGATTTTATTGCAAGCTGTCATCTTATGGAAGTATTATTTGCATCAGTTCAGAAATTTTCACTTAGTGACATTAATGTGAATTTCCTTTCTTAAAGAGTGAAATGTATCACTTTGGTGACACAAACAGTGTGGAAGTGAGAACATTTTTCAGTGATCCATGTCAAAGCACCAGTGAAATCATGTCTTGATTGTATCCAGATAAATCCCATGGATAAATCCAAAGCATTCTGTATACCAAGGTAGAATTAATTGCAGTAAATCTTAATATTAATATTAAGGCATCTTAATTGCTTAGAATTGTTTTCAGCTTGGGAAATCATTCTTAAAACAACTAAATAACAATGTTTTCATGCATAGGGTTTTTGTTGGGTTTTTTTCTGTGAGTAAGTTTGTTGATGTTTACTGAAATAATTACTTCAGCAAAGACATGAAAAAACAGAGGCTTAGGAATGTATGATAATATAAATCAAGTACATTTTAGGAAGTGAACTGTTTCTTTTATCTATTCTTGAAGTTCCTGAATTTAGGATTCAAATGGTGCATCACTTCCCCCAATTGTCTACCTCTACATACAAGTTAAATAATACAATAGAATTTATAGTAAAGATAATTGTGACTTAATCAGCTTCAATATAGTTTCTTTATTTTCATACAAATATGGTTTCATTTAAAATGTAGTATGCAGAACCTTAAACCTTTTAAAGGTAAAGGAGAAAATCATGTGCTAGGTTAACATCCTGCAAAACAAAATATTTTATAAATGCTTAGGAAACATATTAAACCCCTTTATCTTGAACAGGTTCCAGCTTGCACACCTGCCCCCACCTTATCTATAAACTTTTCATTTTTCAAATTGAACTTTCTCAATTCTTTGCTGCTTTTGCAAAGGAGTTACAAATATAAGCTGTAAGCACAGCCTTGCTTGGTACCCAGGTGTAGAGCTCTGCTGTGGAGGAGGCTCTTTCAGGGCTCCAAGGAGTTACTGCTCAGTGTAACACCTGAAGTGAAAAAGCACAATACACCTGAATGTGTGGGGCATGACAGTAGTACAGGCAGGAAAAGTTAATTCAGAAGAAATAAATGAAGTGACAACCGTAAAGCATCAAAACGTCTTAAAGTTTTCTCCCTCCCTCCTGTCCCAAAGTTAACCTCGTGTCAGGGGAGATGCCAGGTCTACCCTGCTGCTGGGCAAAACGGGCAGTGTCTGGAGCTTAATTGCTCTTTCGACACGAATCACTGAGCTGTTGTAAAGGTATGATGGGAGCCACTGGCAGCAGAGGGAAGAAGACACGCGTGGGCTGTGACTCGCCTTGAACCCCGCTTGCAGCCGCCGCCCCGCGATCCGCACCGCTGGGTGGGCAGCCAGCTCCTCTCGAGCTGTGCCCACTGCAGAGCTGCTGCTGCTCACAGCAAGCCTGGGAAATCACTTTGGGGTTTTGCCAGCTTTTAGGGTGGCCCCAAACACCACCTGTGGATGTTTTAAGAGTGTTACTGACAGTCATGTTCGATTATTAATAGCTTGGCAAAATCCATCGGGCTCTGTGCTTCAGCTTTCTCATAGAAGATTTCCCCTTCATGTGGTTTGGGTTGAAGCTGAGAGTTTGGTCTGTGGATATTTTTTACTTCAGTCTCATTTTAACAGCGAGCACAAAGGAATATCCAGAATGCACACATTGCAATATTTTTTTAAAAAAGTTCATAGAGTAACTTAGACTCAATAGCGCAGGAAATACTGAAAATGTGCCCCTCAAAGCACTTCTCAAGAACTGAAGGAGGCTGTTCAGGGCCCAAGATCCTTCAATCTTTTAGTGATGTGAAAGAGCTCCACTACATGCCTTTACAGGATAATCCATAAAACTAGGTGTAAAGTCATCATGACTACTACCTGCTAGCTGGATTCATAACCAGCACTGTAGCTGTGGGTAGAAAACTCAAAACAGTTGTAAACTATCATTTAAACCTACACTGCCATTTTTAAATGATGCTGCAGGGAGATCCACCTTTAGGAATGGCAGAAGGAAGTGTGCAACATTGGAAGGTGAAGTTTCACCACAATATTTACTCTCTTCCTTGTTTAAAGATGATAAAACTGAACACCTACAAACATCTATGCTATTCATTGTATAGCATCCAGTGCTGTTGATTTTTATGTACTCAGGGAGAGTTTTCTCACAGTCTGGTGTTTGCATCTATTGACTCTGTAATCTACAGACAGACCCTTAATGAGCAGAAAAGACAAGAATCTCAGAGATAAAGCCTTGGGATAACAGTGGACCTTTACAGCTTGTCAGTAGGAGAAAGCTCAAACATAAATATCTGATTTACAGAAGTAACACAACTTATTTTGATAGATTACATTGTTTTTGTTTCAAATTACTCTGTCAATCGAGAAGGAAGGGGTTAAGAGGTCATATTTAAAAAAAAATGCTTGAAAGGGCTCTTTCAAGGGATTTTTCATATATTTCACCCCCATAATTAATTGCTTATTTGTGATATTGCAGAACCTCTACTTTGTCTGACAAACATGCTGATTTTGTGAAATGTTGCTTTACAAATCCCCTCAAACAGACAGGAACAGGACCAAACACCCTACATGTGGACTGAAATGTAGTGATTTGAACCACAAAGTAGTTCCTGACATGTCTTTGTCACATCTTCACTTCAAGTTTGATTTTTTTTCCCTTGTTGGGTGAGGCTTTGTTTCTGTTTTGACCTGTTTCACTTGGGAATGGATCATGCAGAAAACGACACTGGCTTTTTAAGCAGAAGTGAGGTCAAGGCTGAGAATTGCCTGTGTTGAAAACTTTTAGACCAGTGGTTAGCCAGCAAGAGATGGGGAAAGAGAAAGGTTAGGGTGTGAAGTGTTGAAGCAAAGATTCCCTTGGCTATGGTGGGGCTTGACTTCATTCTTGAGCATCAACTCAACTCCTGGACAAGCCCATCTACTGCAGATGGAGCATTTTGTTTCTCCCATGCCTTTTCCGTGTCACGGCCCCCGCGGGGGCAGCCACAGCCAGGGAGGACACACAGTGGGACACAAGGGCACCCATGGACATCCCACTGCCCTCCCTGGTGCCCTGGGGCTGGGGTGTGCTCTGTGGGGATGCGGAGCCCCCGCCAAGCCTCTGCCTGCCCACCTGTGTGGTTCGAGATGCCTGAGTGCGGGCGGGGAGGGCACCGCGGCCCTTGGTGTGCGGCTCCTCCGGTGGCGTGGGCAGGCCCAGGTGGACACCTGAGCTCCGGGCAGAGGCGTTCATGGGTCCACAGGCAATTTTGGCCAGAGAGGAGGTGCTGGAGGCCGTGGAGGGTCCCCCATCTGCCCCGTCCAGCGTAGCACAGGAGGCAGTGGCGGAGCTGGTGCCGCGACACAACGGCAATGAGTTTATCAGTGGTGTGAGACACGAGGAGCTCCTCCACACAACACCACAGAGATGAGTTTATCAGTGGTGTGAGACACGAGGAGCTCCTCCACACGCATGGGGCGGTGAGGCCTTCGAGAGGCGGCTGCTTGGCCCTGGAGCTGGCCCTGCCCGCTGTGCCTTCGCTTTTCCAAGGGCTCGATTCCCCGGCAGCCGGCAACAGGAATAAATTACAAAGCCGCACTTAATGTTAGTGACTCTTTAAATGGAATTTTTCATTCAAAGTTTGTCATTAAAATAGAAAGGCCTTTTGGTTGTGACCATACAGGCATAATAAATTGTATATGTTTGCGATACTGAATGAATCTTGCCCATATGCTGCACTGCAAGGCTACATGAATGAAGCATTTACCAAATCAGGCCCACCACATTAAACAGAAAAACAATCTTTATTCATGGTAACTTATCAGTTTCAATTAATCAACCTCAACAATAGAAATTCTGATGTGTTCAAGCAACTTGAAAGCAATAGGTCATCTCCAGGGCAGCCATGTTGTGTCTTTGTGCCTATGGCTTCAAACAAAGCAACATCTCCAATAAATGTACATCCCCACACACAGATGTGTGACTATATCTGTATAAACATCCAGGCGCACTGAAGGCCCTGGTGTACACGTATGGCTGTACGTAGAAGTGTTTAGCTTTTTTGTCATACAAAAAGTAATTGTTTTCCTTTTTTTTTTTTTTTTTTTTTTTTTGGAGCTCCACAAGTTTAAACAAAAGAAAAGAAATTTCCATTGGATGACCATCCTTTCAGTTTCTCTGCTGCTATGTGAATAGCATTGTGCAAACCATTCCAATGGTATTGAAAAGGGGTAACCATTGGTTTGATTTGGTTACACGGTTTCGTAAAGAGCTCCCTCCCACTGCCTTAGGGTCTGTGAAAGGTCTGTGACCTGTTTAGAACTGCCAAGTGAAATGTCATGTCGCCCCTCCCAAATGGGAGTATCTGCATTCATTTGATCAGTATAAAAAATGATTGGGGATGGCGAGATCAGGGCTTTTGAATTGCAATTTATAGCAGTTTACAAAAATGCACATTGTTGGAAAAGAAAACATGGAAGTGTTGCTTTCTAAATTGCATTACCTGTGAAATGTCATTAGTCTTTTTAGGATATTGCATCCTATTTTTTATGATCTCAGAGAGAGAATTAAATGAAGAAGTTGAGTGTTTGCTTGAGATAAAAAGGCACAGCGCACTACCTACAGCACCTGCTAAGTTTTGCCATCAGCTGCTGAAGGAAATGTTTCCCCATTCCTCTCCAGCTCGAGTCCATAGTTCTGCTGTCATCACTTGGTGGTACCGTGTATTTCATGAGATCTTGTCATTTTCATGCAGTGACACGAGGCTGCTGCTTTCTGGGGGGGTGGTTTGTTCATGTCCAGGGCTCAGCATCCTCCTGCCTCCCGCCGAGCGCTTTGACCACCGCCGCCTTGTCCGGGGACGGCCGCCGAAGGCTTAATTTGTTCCTCTTGCAATTCCCCGCACCTGAAAAGAAACAAAACCAAAGCAAACGAAACACAACAGTAAGGAAAAACGAAGGGTCGGTTGCACTAATTTAAAGCTATCCTTCCTTCAATGTGTCACCTCTCACGCCGAACTCCCCGGGGGCTGCGCCCTTAATGCGCCCAGCCCGGCGCTTGGGGCGCGGATCTGGAGGAGCTCAGTGGCCTGGGGCTGGGCACCTTCCCTTCCCCTCTCCGTGCCGGTCACAGACCCCACACCCCCAGCGCTGCCTCGGGAATGTGGGCGCTCCCCGACGCCGGGGGCACAGAAGGGACCAGACGGGAGGCAGTGGCGGGGCTGCTCTGCGAGCCATGCAGGACAGAGAAAGGTGCGGGGGAGAGAATGGCAGGGGACACGGATGTTTCAGAGGCAGAAGCGAAGGGTGAAGGGGCCCCGGGCCTGCCCGGGACAGAGGGTGCCCTTGACTGTGCCTGCCCGAGGGCGGGGGCGGGCAGGAGATGCTGCCTGCAGGGCTGACAAACAGGACAGGGAGCCGGGGGTTGCTCCTTCTCCTGCAGGAGCCGAGTCGAAGGCTGAAGCTTTCCTTCGTGACCTCTACTCTTCACCTCACCTTGCGGGTGCTCTGCTGCCAGCAGCGCAGGGGGTGGCGGCTTGCTCTGAAAAGAGCACCCCGCCCTCCGGGCCAGCTCACCGCTGCCTCGGCCACTGCCCGGGCCACTCTGGGCCCCCTCTTCCCTGGCCCAGACCGTGCTAAATGTTGCTCGCCTAAAAGGCGATAGCTCAGTTCCGCTGAGAGCTTTGGAGCGGCACGGCGGGACTCCACGGTGCCGTGAGAACCCCTGGCAGGCCCTGGCGGGCACTGCGAGGGCAGAGCCTGTCCCTGTGTCTTCCTGGGCTCATCCGGACCCTGGGACGAGGGGAGACGGAGTGTCCTCCCCAACACCACGCAAAAGTTGGATGTCAAGTCCCACAGCCAAGGAAGTGGTCGCGCCACCAAACCTGTGAGAGTTCAAGAAGCGTTTGGACAATGGTCTTAGGCACATGATGTGAATTTTGGTGTTGCTCTGTTCAGAGGCAGGAGTCGGACTTCTCTGACCTTTGTGGGTCCCTTCCAATACAGAATTTTCTATGATTCTATGACCACATTCACTGGGTCCGGCACAGATGCTCTTTGTAGCTGTCACCCAAGGCTGTAACGTTAAAACGGGACAGATAAATTATTAGGAGTAAAAGCCTTGAGCGGCTTAATTGGGAAAAGCAGTCCTGGTTCCAACCAATGTCCATACAATTGCACACTGCAGTCCACCATTATTCGAGCTTCATCTACTATGCACTATATACCACCGTCTCCAAAGGATTGTTGCCCTAGAAACTTGTTTTAAATCTCCAGCTATATATCAACACCTTGTTTTAGCAGTCCTTGGCTGAATTACAGTTACACAGTTTGGCGCTTCTTTCAAATTTCCTCCCATCAGTTTGGCCAAAGAAAGGAATTTTTCTCCTTTAGAAATGAATTGGCTTAATTAGTAAGTAGATTAATGGCAATTGCTGGTGAGTTGGTTTCCAGCAGAGTTTCACCAGAGAGGGTTAATCGGAGTCAGGTCTGGAATCTTTCCCAGAACTGGCTGCCAGCCATTTCCGTCAACCAATCAACCCCGTAAACAAACGCGCCATCCACTGAAACAGAGTTTATTTCTTACTGTCATCCCGCTGGAGTCATTTCCCCAAACAGCCGCCACCTCGCCATGGGTTTGAAATGGACCGCCCTGAACTCGGGGCATCTAATTTTCAGTGATCTCCCCAAATACTTTGAAGCGTTTCTCCGGAGAAAAAAGGATTTGTTGGGCACATCGGCAAAACGAGTAACCTGCTTTCAGCAGCCTCCAGCTGAAATTTTTCCCTTCTAAGAAGTTTATAATTCGAGGATAAACCGGTTAACATAACCGGGCGGTTCAGAACTCTTTTCCAAAGCCACTGTCTCAAACGTGGGGCAAGCAAGAAAAACATCAGCATTGACTTTGACATCTTTTTCGGCCTTTCCACTTCTTTTTTTTTTTTTTTTTTTTTTTTTTTTTTTTTTTTTTTTTTTTTTTTTCTATACCGATACAACGTATTCATACTTCGACTTGCAGCTGCATTAGTCTTGCAAATTAAAAAAAAAAAAAAAAAAATCCCTGCTGAGAAATGCATATAATAGGAAAAACAGATCGGCTGGACAGCAGCGTAATTAATGCCAGAAAGGGCTGAGGCCGGTTTCATAGTTTGTCTTTTGAGGATATCAAGACGAGACCTGGTGAAAAATGACGCATGCTTTAACATTTCAGAAAGCTGGCAACTAGCAGCGCTCCCCCCCCTCCCCTCCACCCCTCCTTTTTTTTTAACTTTATGCCTCTGAACAAAGGGGTCGGCAGAACTAGCTAGGTTGTAATGAGTTCTGTGTCCCTAGCACATTAAGTGCATCATGGAAACATATTGTATCGAAATAGTTTGGAGGAGAATACTGGGGATGAAAGAGAAAGGGTGCTTTGATCAGCTCCCTGGGGTCCTGAGTGCGCGCAGACCGACTTGCAAGGACTTATTCAGCTCCAGCGAGACACACTTACAACGCCATTCAAAGAAATTTGCATATCTGTAATTTATCACATTTGTCCCCAACATTTTTGCAAGGTAAATAAAAGTTGGCTGAATAAAAAATATCAATCATCACAGGGCTAGGGAGAGAGGGAGCCGGGAGCAGGGCGAAGTGTTTGTTTAAGCAGACTCCGTTTGGAAAATTTTCGCTGAACGCGGGGTAAAACTCACCCCGAAGCGTTTTGCTGTTTATTTCAAGGCGGTGACCGCGCTTGTGACCGCGACCGGAGCTCCGCGGCCCGGCCCAGCACGGCCCGGCCTGCCCCGGACCCCCAAAGCCCGGAGCTCCGGCGTTCG